AGCACTCAGCACTCAGCACTCAGCACTCAGCACTCAGCACTCAGCACTCATCCTGCCCGGGGAGCTGCCCAAGAGATGTGTGGGGGGAAGGAACCCCCTGGCATGGCAGGGCAGGGGCCTTCTGCTGTCACCTGCTGCCTGGGGCAGGGGATTCATGGCTCCACAGCAAAGAAGGAACTTCAAGATGACTTTCTGTCAGTACAGGAAAAGTAGAGCTTATGTTTCAGTTCAGTCTGTGCTTTTAGATTCCTCATAAAGGGATGGAAGGAGGTCTTAGGATTCAACACTGAGAATTCTGAATCATTCCACTGGAAGATAATCAAACCTGCCTGGACTCTCATAAATTCCCCATGCCCACTCCTCTGCCTGCATGCAGCAACAGAATCCCTTTTGCTGGCCACATCAGGATTTGTGTAGCCTGCTGCAGACAGGGAGATGCTCATGAACAGTGCCCTGCTGCCAGGAGGGGTCTGCAGGGGACATTGAGTGCACAGAGGCTGGGATGGGGTCTGTAGCTGATAAGAAATAGCTACAGCAAGGAACAGCTCCAGGGTGCAGATACAGGGACAGAGACAGACAGGGAACGTGTCACAGAAAGGCTCTGCATGGTGGGTTTGGGCTGCCCTCCATCTGCCCCTCCAGTGCAGATGTCTTCCTATGAGCAAACCACCTGTGCCCCCCTCCCACCTAGCACAGCTCTGCCTTCTCAGCCCTGGGGCCAGGCCATGAGCTGCTCCTCTGCAGCCACAGATCTGTAGAGCAGAGTTGCATCTCTCCAGACATGGACTTCTTTTGCTGAGAGATCCAAGAGGCTGAGAGTTACAACTTGTGACTTTGCTATCTAAGGAAAAGGCCTTCTGGAGTGCTGGCTGTCTCTTCACTCCTTGTTTCCTCAGCAGGAGAATCACAGTATTTTTTTTCCCCCATTTCTCCATTTATGTGCAATGCTCCTCTTCTCTCTCTGGCACTTTTGCAACAGCTTCTGTCTCCTTTGCGCATTTCTAGCTCTTTGCAGTGCAGTTGTTTCAGTTTCAGGAGTGAGCTCCCACCCCCCAGGAGACATCAGCTCGAGGCTACCGCTGTGGATGTGCCCTGAAAAACTGCCACAAGCTCCAAGGTGTGTACAGCTCCTTTGTGCCCTTTCTCCAGCCCCAGGAATCAGAAGCCTCACCATGTCCCTTTCCTCCTTTTCCCCAAATCGGAGCTGAAGGAGAGAGGAGTTGGACAATGGCTCTCTGCACAGCCCGGACAGTCTGCCTCTGAGCAGTGACTTGTGTTTATACTGAGAACAAAGGAAACCCTGAAGAATTTTTCCATTTCCTAAATTTAATGGGGTAATCTAAATCCCAAAGAGGCACATAAGTAGTTGATTAGGTTACCTCTTGTCTTCTGAAGAGCAAGGTGAGAAGTTTATTTTCATCTGTGTGCTTACAGAAAAAAGCTGTTTAAATTTCATTACACATTTGGTACCAGGAAAAATACTAAATTAGAATATTTGGAATTGGTGCGAAACCAGGCTGTTCTCTAGAAAATAAGGCCATTTGCAGAGGATTGAATCAATTCTGTAGTCATGAGCCATGGGTTCCTATGCCCAGCATGGGAGCATGAGATCTCTGGTTCTGATATTAGGGACAAATCACTGAAGGAGGGAAAAGTACGAAGAGATTAATCCCTCTGTCTTCTCGTACACAGGCAGATGGACAATGTACCAATTTTATCTCTCATTTTGATCAGCAGTGAATATCCCCACAGAGACAGTGGACAGAATCTGACTCATTCAACAGCAGAAAACATCCCTCTTCAAATGCAAAAGGGAAGATTGGTGGAAACCTTCATTTGCCCACTGACTTAGAGCAAAACTGATTCCTCTAAAGGCAGGCCTAGCATTGCCTTACCACTCCTGCATAGGACTCCACACGCAGAAGTAAAGATGTCCAGCAGCACTGAGTTCCTCCTGCTGGCATTGGCAGACACGCGGCAGCTGCAGCTCCTGCACTTCTGGCTCTTGCTGGGCA